GAGGACAGAATGTTGACTCACCTCTAACAGTGATTATGTGTGTGTATGTGTGTGTATCATGGAGCTGCGGAGTGTTTGCCGTGCTTCTCTGCAACCGTGGCCAATTCAACAGATGCTTTCGCTCTATGTGCTGGTGAATCTTACGGTTCTCTGCCCAAAGTCAAATGGATGGAGCTGATAATCAAGGCCTTTGTGCCATCTGTAAACTCATTACAAGAGAGACTGCGCTAAAGAGAGAGTGAGTAAACGAGAGGAAACTGAAAGCTTAATGTACAGAGTATGCTTTATGGACACGGCGACTAGCATTTAATTGGATTCTTTATCCATTATGTGTCTCACTCTCATCTAAACATTACAGATGGAGCAGATGAATGCCTGAAAAACATTTTATCCCTGAAAACAGTGTGCCAATTAACAGTAGACTTTGTATTGATTTATCCTACATTCATCCTCAGACCATCGTACAGGGTGTGTGTGTGCGTTTGCAAAGGAGTCGTGCGAGGAGGGTGAATGACTGCAGCTCATTGCAGAGCGCGATTCCTATTGTGCGGTTGCTTGGACACTGTTGCCATAGCAACAGGCTCTAGTGCAGTGTAAAAACACAGAGAATGAAATAATAAAGAGATTGTGTGAAAACAGAAGGCATAACCCATCCTTTCACTTAATGTCAACGGTTAACCATGATCACTGACAGTAAGATCACGTATGTAAACACAGGAGGGATGACTAAACAAACACATATCTGACATACTTGAGTTTGTTGCTAATAGTATCATTATTCATTGAGTGAGTTGTCACGGTTCAGTGCTTGGCACAAACTCTCATAACAATAGGATGAGCCTGAGAACTATGGTCCACTGATATCACTGTTCAGACACAGGAATCAGATTAATTCAGGGGTTTTCAAACAGGGGTCTACAGAAAATGTAGAGATTTAATTTTTTGCTTTACTTTTTTAACATGTTTTCTAGCATCCATTTTGTCTAGTTGTAGGTTGTTTTTTTATTGATTTTAATTGTGTTATATAAAAATATTGTGAAATAACTTTTTAATTATATAAAAGTTGTATAGGTGTACACTGTACAAGGCTAAATAATCAGCAGGCTTCAGTGTTACATGATCCTTCAGAAATCTGCTCAAAAAACTCTACAGTGTACACAACTCGAGAAAAGTCTATGCATGTTTTAGGAACAACAATAATAACTTGACTTCTAGTTGATCATTTTGGTATCAGAAGTGGCTTGTATGAAAGGCAAAGGCCTCAAGATTATGCTTATTTTACCAAAATATAATATAATCATGCCTTGATTTTTTTTTTATTTAATTAGGACAATAAGGTCTGACTTTGCTTTGACAAAACTCTTGTTATTTAACAGAAATTATGTACAGTTTAGAATATAAGGTCATGGTGCAGTTGAAAAAAAACTAATATTGTGTATGACTCCCATGAGCTTGGAGGACTGCATCCATACATCTCTGCAATGACTCAAATAACTTATAAATAAAGTCATCTGGAATGGCAAAAAAAGCGTTCTTGCAGGACTCCCAGAGTTCAAGATTCTTTGGATTCATCTTCAATGCCTCCTCCTTCAACTTACTCCAGACATGCTCAATAATGTTCATGTCTGATGACTGGGCTGGCCATTCCTGGAACACCTTGACCTTCTTTGCTTTTAGAAACTTTGATGTGGAGGCTGAATTATGAGGAGGAGGCGTTATCCTGCTGAAGAATTTGCCCTCTCCTGTGGTTTGTAATGTAATGGGCAGCACAAATGTCTTGATACCTCAGGCTGTCGATGTTGCCATCCACTGCAAATCTCTCACATGCCCCGATACTGAATGTAACCCCAAACCATGATTCTTCCTTCACAAAACTTGACTGATTTCTGTGAGAATTTTGGGTCCGGTATTTGTGATGATTGAGATGCAGTTCAACAGATGATTCATTGCAAAAACCGACCTTCTGCCACTTTTCCAAATGATCAACTAAAAGTCAAGTTATTTTGTGTTGCTCTTACAACTGGGATCAACGACAAGACTTTTGTCAGGTAGTGTACAGTCGAAACAGCGTTATGATTACTGTGATACTTTTTCTATTTCTCTATATTGATATTGATAAAATGAATCTTTTTCACAAAAGAAAAGCAAATAAACATCAGTGTTACATGCCTTATATACGTGTAAAGCAATACTTTAATGAAGGTGTCAGCCAGAAGTTGCTGAGACTTAAATTTCAGTATGTTAATATAACCGAAACATAATATTGAGTAAAGGGCAGGGCTTTTTTTATCTATAGCTTTACATGAATTACACTATCCGGGGTATCCTTGACATCAAATGCCTTTAAAACACGTGGGTTATATTCCACATTATTCGTCGCAGGGATGTAATTATGCCATTTACACCATGAGAATTCCCTCCAGTCAGACTTATCAAGGAGTCAATGACACAATTACTCTCATGGACTAATAAGAGATTTTGTACCCAGTCTGAACAGACACAGCTATCAAGTCCATCTCTTCACTTCTCTCAGATCCATCTATACAATCTCTAAATGAGTGCTTCAAATGAAGGCACTCACCACCACTTACTCATGGTAAGAATGCTGAGAAGGGATGGAGTGGTTTGACATATCTTATTTATGTTAGTCCGGCCCTCTCACTGTGTCCTCTGCATACTGCACGAGAGTGCTTGGTGAAGAGGCAGCAAATTCAGTTTTTTTTTCACTTTGTAATTTAACCACAAATCTACTATAACACTCAAATGTGCTGTCAATGTATTGGGAATCTGCATTGATGCACTCGATAGGCTATAGTTAGAGCTGTGCCAGTAAACTTCACTCCCTTGATCTTAAAAAAGCTCACTTGCAACAGACACTAGAACAGAGATGCCCAAAGTAGGGCCCGTGAGCCAAAGTTGGCCCATTGTAACCTTTGATTTGGCCCACTATCCCATCTGAGAAGATAGTGAGAAAGATGGAGAGGGTTGGGGCGAATGCCTTTAAAAGAGATCGTCATTTTTGATTTGATATAACCTTTTTTTGTTTGTTTCATTGCTGAGCTACAAAAAAAAAAAAACTGAAATAAAATATTTCAATGAAATGTTGTAAATGAATCTGATTTTTAAAAAATGTAAACAATGACACTTGACAGATCGGTGAACAAATCAAGGCAAAAACTAGTTAATAAATACTTAAACTTCTTAAGGCCTAAGAAGTTTAAGCCTTAAGGGCTTACTGGAACCAAATAAGAATAAAAACCTTAGTATCATCTTTTAATATGATTTACTTTCAGAAAAGAATTATGTCCATATATGTGGACTCGTGGTCTGAATTTAAAAAACTTTTTTTCTGATTTTTTTGTAATGCATATCTAACATAGTTTTTTTATTTTTGAACATGTATTGACTATAAATGAGTAAAAACAAAAAAAAAATTCCCCTTTTTAAACAGTTCATATGCTGCACAACAGTTGCATAATGACACTGTATGTCTGTAACAAAATATAAACATTGAAAGTATTTTAAATAGCCCCTTAAGAGCTAAAATGTGCTGTCCATGGATGTGGCCACTAAGCCCTATAGGAGGTTAAATATTAAATAAGTAAGGAAATTGCCCATGGCAACTAAACTTTCCTTTGGCCCACTAGCCTCAATCTAGTTTGGTTTTTGGCTCTTCATAAGGAGAAGTTTGGGAACCCCTGAGCCCCTGTGTCATTCTTGTTAATGTACCGGGCTCTCATGCTGGATATACAGTGTGAATCCTGCATTTAGCTGCTCAAGTGGAACCAGAGGGGCAACACTTGTTCCGTGACCCAGATGGGAGATCACATAACACAGGGCATCTAGTGATGTAGGTGCATTTTGAGCATACTGTAGCAGCAACCAACTCCAATGCTGAAAACAATGGTTTGATTCCTACTGACAGATACTAATGTAACCTCTTGTGTTTTGAGCATCTCTACTTTAAAAACGTAAACTACAAAAGTGGTTTGTGAAATGGTGTGTTTGATTGTTTATCTGAAGAAAGAAAGTCATATACGTGACGTGATTGTAAATTAATAGTTCAGTGAGCGCTGTCTACTGGATGAGATCTTAAACAGAGGTTCTGACTCTCTGTGATCATTAAAAATCCCAGCATCCTGTAGCATCCTGGCCAAATTTACCCACTGGTCTCTGTCCATCATGGCCTCCTAACCATCCCCATATCATAATTGGCTTCATCACTCTGTCTTCTCTCCACCAATCAGCTGGTGTGTGGTGAGCGGTCTGGCGCAATATGGCTGCCGTCGCATCATTTAGGTGGATGTTGCTCACTGGTGGTGGATAAGGAGATTATCCCCCCCCTTTCCCTATTGTGTAAAGCGCTTTGTGTGTCTAGAAAAGTGCTATATAAATGATAAATGTAAGGAATTATTTATTATTATTATTATTATTATTATTATTAATGAGAGAATTTTCCTTTTTTGGTTTACCAATCCCTTGAGCAAAAATATTCACGCATAGCTACTTACTTAAAGCCATACCATCAAATGTTGGATAACCTCCCAAAAGCAAACTAATAATTATTGCATACTGACATACAAGCAGTGTGTATTTAAGACAAGCTGATAGACAAAATCAAGAGTAAGCTATTGAATGAGCGTGCCGCTGTTTATCTGGGTGGATGAAATGTATCCTCGCAGGAGTCGAATGGAAAAACATATAGACATGCAAAAGATTGCATAGGGCATTGGTCGTTATGCAACCATGGTGAAGATGTGTGTTTGTTTCTCTGTGCGTTTTTCTAAAGAGACGGAACAGAATGCAGCGTGATGTGATTTTATAATGTCTCCAGATGGTTGAGCTGTATTTGAACGATTCCCAAATGAGATTTTGAAAACAGGTTACATGTGTGATTTCAGGCAGGTCTAGAAACACGGTGAGGTGGAAGGAAAGAAAAGGTTAAATCACATTTCTCTGCTATTAATTCAGAGGGAAAACACTGAAACAAGTGTCCTTACCTGCTCTGTTCATTTCTAAAATCTCCTCTTGGGCAGCAAGAGCGCAGTGTTCGCTGATTTGTGGGCTGTGGTGGGGCGAGTTCATGGCAGACTTACAGTAGTTTGCTGAGCCCAGCTGAGGGGCACGGGGAATATGCTTGTTCTTTTTCTTTGGTAGCTTCTGCTTAGCCATGGCTAGAGAGTAGTACATCCCAAAGTTATTGACGATGACGGGCACAGGCATGGCGATGGTTAACACACCAGCCAAAGCACACAATGCGCCCACTAACATACCTGACCAAGTCTGAGGATACATGTCTCCATATCCCAACGTGGTCATGGTCACGACAGCCCACCAGAAGCCAATGGGAATGTTTTTAAAGTGGGTGTGTTCGCTGGCACGTGGATCATTAGGATTGGCGCCGATTCGTTCGGCGTAGTAGATCATGGTGGCGAAGATTAGCACTCCAAGAGCAAGAAAGATGATGAGCAGGAGGAACTCATTGGTGCTGGCGCGGAGAGTGTGTCCCAATACACGCAGTCCCACAAAGTGGCGAGTCAGCTTGAAGATTCGGAGGATCCGAACAAACCGCACCACTCTGAGGAAACCCAGAACATCCTTGGCTTCAGAAGAGGACAGCCCACTCAGGCCCACCTCCAGGTAAAATGGCAGAATGGCCACAAAATCGATAATGTTTAAGGTGTTTTTGATGAACTTTTTTTTGTCTGGACAGAAGGTGACACGCATGAGGAACTCAAAGGTGAACCACACCACACACACTCCCTCAATGTAGGTTAGGTAGACCACCGTCTCTGTCTCCAGGTGAAACCTTGAGGTGTTGTCTTGAGTGTTCACATATGTGCGGTTAATGATGGGGTTGAAGGCCTCGTGCGTCTCCAGGCAGAATGTGGTTATGGAAACCAGAATGAAGAACAGCGATGCAAATGCCACCCACTGTAGGAGAGAAAGAGAGAGAGAGGAAATCAGCAAGTAAAGCAATATTCATTTAAAAAGCCCTTTGTTTACATCCAAAAGCAGCTTTCCTTGGGGGCTGTACACATATTGTGTGCTCAAGTTTGTTATATCAAATGAAGACACTATTTTAACAGGCATACATACAGTGTTTCTAGTTAAAAACATTTTTCAGGATGCCACAGTTGCACTGAGGATCTCGCAACAAGAACTCTTTATATAGATATACAGTACACTATTAGTCAAAAGTTTAGGGTCAGTAGGATATTTAAATGTTTTAAAATAAGCTAATCCTGCTCACCAAAGCTGCATTAATGTCATCAAAAAGACAGTACAAACTGTACAATTGTGAAATGTTATTGCATTATAACTGTTCAAAACTAGTTTATCATTTAATTTAATCATTTATTCCAGTGATTTTATAATTCATTTTCAGCTTCCTTACTGCAGTCCTAAGAGACAGATGATCCTTCAGAAATTTCTTCATTCATTTTCCTTTATTAATCAGGGGTCACCACAGTGGAATGAACCGCTAACTTAATCAGCATATGTTTTACACAGCAGATTCCCTGTTTCCCTGTTTCAGCTGCAGCTGTTTCCCATCACTGGGAAACACCCATACACACACACTACGGACAATTGAGCTTACCCAATTCACCTATACTGCATGTCTTTGGACTTGTGTGGGAAACCGGTGCCCTCGGAGGTGAACCCATGTGAACATGGGGAGTACAGCAACCAGCAACATCCTTGCTGTGAGGCCATCGTGCTAACCACTGCGCCACAGTGATGCCCCTTCAGAAATTCACTCTAATATTATTATTATTATCATTATTAATAATATCATTAATGGTAAAAGTTATAAAAGGATTAATAACTGGAGTAATAATTAGATTTGAAACTAGATACAATAAGAAAGCAGTTATTTAAAATTAATAAATATTTAACAATTAAATTTTTTTTTTTTACATTTAATAAATGCCACCTTGATGAACAGAACGGTTTCCTTTAAAAAAAGAACAACTTCAAATTGTTGACTGATAGTGTACATGTTTTAGTGACATAAGTAGACTGATGCAGAGCAGCCAAACACTACATCGCTTTTTAATTTTCTCCATAAGCAAACTTGTATCATAAGGGTCGGTGGTGGTTCCTGAATAGCAAGAACAAACATAAAGCGTTGTCTGCTTGACAAGCAGCACCTAATTATGTTCAAACTAAATTAAAATGCCAAATAGGATGAATTTACACCCCATTTCGAAAGTAAAACATACTTCAATATGTAGTGTAGGTAGTGCAGTGTGTGGGTCAGAGGGGGCAGTGTTTTGATGTGATCTGGTTATGTTGTGGTTCTGTGGCTGCTGGTGTTCCTTGCTGTATGGTTAAAATTAAGACAGTTAAAGTAGCTAGGTTAATGTCGATTTAAATCAATTAAAATTAAATAAAATATTAATGTAATATTTTGGGCATTTTTTTTGTGCGTAAAAAGTCTGCTATATCTGGTAACACTGGTGTCATGCCTCACATTTGCTTTTACACATGGTTTTGTTAATAGCCCCTGACATTGCAGGAATGTACATTTGCTCTTCACCATTTATGACCCAATTTGTATAGGCTTTGATTAGAAAATAACTCTTAGTCTAGAGATGATTTTTTTACCATTTTTTTTTGTAATGTTTTCAAATCTATTTATTATTATTTTTTATTATTTAATATCACAAGTTTCTTTGGAAATCATACGGACAATTTAGCCTACCCAATTTACCTGTACCGCATGTCTTTGCACTGTGGGGGAAACCAGAGCACCCGGAGGAAACCCACGCGAAGGGAGAACATGCAATCTCCACACAGAAACGCCAACTGAGCCGAGGTTCGAACCAGCGACCTTCTTGCTGTGAGGCGACAGCACTACCTACTACGCTACTGCCTCGCCCCTCATACAGATTTGCTGACAAATATTTTGTATTTATCACTGTTTTAAATAAAACTTTAATTTTCATATTTTATATTATTGTGTGCCATTTTAAAAGTTGTAATTGATATTTTTGGACTGTTTGATACATACTTGCAGAATACACATATTAAATTGTTAAAAAAATTACAGAGCCATTTGAATGGCAGAGTTGATCATGTGGGGATTTTGCCTGACAAGCGATCTGACCAGAGTATACAAGAAGTATTGTTTTTAATCTATAAAATCCAATAAGGAAAAACTTGGCAGCTATTTTAAATGTAAACAGCTCTTAACAGTGAACACACACACAATGAAAAACAGAAAAGTTAACAGAATGGCAACCAAAAGAACAAGTCTAACCCAACAGAGCAGCGCGTCTGTGGTGTTTTTGATGTCAACAGAAGGTGGGTTCATTTGGAAAAGTATAAAATAAAATAAAAAGGATGTCCTTATGTTTAATGGCATTTATGCCTCAGTCTGTTGTTCGACAACAACATAGGATCTGGATCACATTTTCTTTTTCTCACATCCGATCATTCCTTCTCTGACTCATTCATTCTCCTTGCAGTTTAATGATACTCTATGCCAAACAATATTTTGTAGTTTGTTTCTCCTTTTTATGCCCTAACAGTCTCACACTACCTCAACTAAATAAATGTGGACTGTTGCTCCATTACTCCTCTCTGAAAGAAACTTGAGCTAATCAATCACTTCAGCATCAGTTACCACAAGTGCTGTAACAGAAACCAAGTCACAAACCCGAATGATGTCACAACTACTACACCCAATATGGTATCCTATACATTACACTGTGTATTCTAATTAGTTTTAGAATGGAAAAATGAATTTGTAAATCATAAAAGGAAATTTGACCCTGTGCAACTGTTCTTTCCTTTAAAACAACCTCAAGAATACATCCTCAAGCTGTCCTGCCAAGATTTTCTTTTCAATTTCACAGTATATTAATATTATTGAAGTACAATGAGTTCTCTGCCTGCTAGCGTGTTCTTCCTTTTCTTTACAGGTGAGCAGAATGGTCCGCATAACATGGCCTTGTGCAAGCCTCCTACAGCAAGTCCCACGCATGACGTCTTACACCAAGACCACACGCCTGCACTGTAAAAAATGTTACTTAGATCTAACTTATAAAAAGTGAGGCAAGTGGTTGCATCGGACGTTTTAGGTTGATTCAACTTCCAGCCTTTTTTAAGTATTTTAAACACTAAAACATTGCTTAAAACAAATGCAATAAAATTAAGTTGAGCCAAATAATATTTCTAAAATTACTCAAATCAGATAAACTTACTTTTTTTGTTAAACTTAACTTACTTATACATTGCTATATGATGACTGTACTCATTTTAATTAAGTATTATGAACTTAATGATCTAAATAAAATTAACCATGCATATGTCATTTAAAACGAATTTAATTGACTTCTGGCTGTAACCTCAGAAAATAAATCGGCGTTTCTATATTGTAAGCACAATATACACTAGTAAACACAGATAAACAGACTTTCCTGTCAATAACAATTAAATAAGAATGGGAAGATGGATTAAAGACCATAACATGTATTCAATATCAATCAATGTTCCTTTTAATAGTGACTACAAAATAGGCCATTAATGTGGCTACACGTACACAATACATAAATAAAAACATTAATAATACCAGATCCTATTGAGAAATCATCCAAGGCAACTCAGTGAGGAGATTTGCATATTTTGATGAAGATTTTGGATGCATAATGTCCAGTCCCACAAAGAGTCTCTAATACATCTTAAATGTATACAGTTTTGATGGATACTTGAAGTCGAGGACATCGGTAAGTCCAAACAGGAGCCATCATGCATTTGACAGGTTTGGCAAACCTCTGACAGTCCTATGATAATCCAAACTGTGTTGGGCTGATGGCAAATTTTTCCCGTGGGCAGCCGCATGCACCTCTGATTCCTCACAACTCTATTGGTAGAGACAAAAAGAAACAGGAGTTCAGGTGGTTGCTACCAAACAACATTAAATAGCTAAATACTAAATAGAAAATAACTACAAGTGAAGTTACAAAAGTCCAGTGAGAATGATGCATGGATGAAACACCTTAGTTTATCAGTTAAAAATTACCTTAGTTAAAATTACCTAACTTTTATTTTAAAAATAAAAAAAGGTTATAGAGGTTGTGTAATTACATTATTCCAGGTGTTTTTAGTTATCAAATTTTAAAGAAAACTGTGATTTTACTCAGTGTAACAGTGCATGTCATTGTGGTTTCCTGTCAATCACAGAATTGTTAAAATTTAGGTATTACATTTTTTTGTTTATTTTGGCAACTTATAAAGCATAAGAATGTGTATTTAATTTAGATATTAAAACTGTTTGAAAACGGCTATAAGAAAATTATAGAATACAAATTCTATAATTTAATTGTCATCTTCATTTTGCACCAAACTTTGCACGTCATAATACAAATTTTATTAAATAAATAAATAAATACATTGCCATTTTACACATTACATTAAGGTTTACATTAAATTTTTGCTAAAGCTACATTTAATTGACTTTTTCTTCAAATTTAATGTCACTGGCAAATGACAGTTCAGTGATTCAGTGTTATCAGTTAGCTTTATTGAAAGACTGACAGATAATAAGAAACTGCATTAGGATATTTTTATACTGTTTTTACTGTTGCACACATAAAAAAAATCTTCAGATATCAAATGTAAGTTAATTCTATGGAGCCCACTATTGTTTGCAATTTTACCAATGTTTTACTAACCTGCAAATAATTATAGCTGTAATTGTATCTAATGTTTTTCTTACCTGGATGTGAAGTTTGAAGATCCACAGGTAACAAAATCACTTTGGTATCTAAAGACCAAGAACATGCATTTTAGAATGAGGTGCATACAGTTTAAATGGTTCTGTAAACATCAGTAGTAAATGTAATTTAAGTTAAATAAATTGTAAATCTGTAATTTATTCACTATGCAGCATTAAAAAACTTATGGACTAAATCTCTAAAACACAA